CCCCCCCCCCCCTTATCACCATCCTTATATCATAGTTGTGGCACCCACAATTTCTCCCCTTTATCACCACGCTATATCATAGTTGTGGTCTACACCGTACACCCCCCCCCCATATCACCATCCTTATATCATAGTTGTGGCACACACAATTTCCCCACTTTATCACCACCCTCATATCATAGTTGCGGCCCACACATCAAGTCTTCTACAAAATCAAGGATTTGGGTCTCACATGATCCATTGACTCGGAAGCCATGTTGACAGTCATTGAGTATATTTTGGCTTTCAAGATGCTTCATGACTGTGCTTACGATTATGTGCTCCAACAGTTTGCAGACCACGCTGGTGAGGGACACGGGCGATAGTTGGCAGGGTCAGAATGCTCACCTTTCTTGTAGATTGGAGTGACATGCGCTGTTCTCCAGTCCGCTGGAACATTTCCTGTGCACAGCGACGATTGGAAGAGGATTGTCAGCACAGGAGCGATTTCTTTGGCTAATTCTTTGAGCACTCGTGGTTTGATGTTGTCAGGACCACATGCTTTGTAGGGGTTAATGGTTTTGAGAAGGGCAAGCACACCCTGCTCTGATATCTGGATATCTTCCATGACAGCGTAGGCTCTGTTCATCATTTTGGTAAGGATCACTATGCGTAGGCCTATATATAATTGTGTTCATGGTTTGAAAACACTTTAACTTTAAGAGTCCACGTTCAGCGCAGTAGTTAAGTAGACTTTACAGGTCCTGAATTATAGCGAGAATTTGTGACTTGTTGAAATTTTAAAAAAAATAATTTAAAAAAAGACTATTTTATTCTCAATGTGCATTTTCCAGGAAGTCTTTTTGTTTACCGGTACTAGAAATCGTACTGGCTAGGAGAGAAACCATATCTTGGATATATTTTGCCGCGGGACACCTATCATTATCTTGCGGTAAACTAGTTGTGGAGCTATGATCTAGGCCACTAGTTGCCAAACTTTGAGACCAGCATACTCATTCCTTATCGCCTCTAAATCTTACCTCGCTAAAGACATTTTTCAGGATACATTAAAAAAAAAAAGACCCCGTTAAGGGAAGAAAAACTTGATAAATCTGAAAGAGTAAGATTGAACTTTTAATGAATTAAAAAATTGTATATTTATTTTTATTAAAAAAAAAATATTTCCAGTCATGGTCATAGGCGTAACTATGGTTTCTGCCCCTAGTTGCGGTAAACTCATGTTCTACCCCCCCCCTCCAATTTTCTGGGACCCCCCCCCCCGACCTGCATCGAGTACATTTTTAAATTCTAATTCATGCCATACAGCAGGCCTGCACAACTCAAAAGGTAAGGCGGGCCGTAATACATTATGTAAAAATTGTGCGGGCCAAAAGAATATAGGTCAAGGGGACAGCTATTTAGAAAATAAGAAGAATAAAGAGTTTTTCGTTACCTCGCGGGCCACAAAGTGGGTGCTGGCGGGCCACATGGGGCCCGCGGGCCGTTATGTTGTGCACGCCTGCCATACAGAATCGATCATAGTTTATAGTATTGATGTTTTTAAGTTAAGTGTTAGGACAACAATGACCCAAGAAGAGAATAAGAGGTAACAGCGTTTTAGAAATGCAACAAGATTGCGGTACTTTTCGATAATCTTTATAGTTAAAAACGTTACTTTCCTGGACTTCAAGTTGCAAACCTGTCAATTTACTTCGTCCAAATTTTAATTCTTCACCATATCACTTGCAATTAAAAAAAAAAAAAAATCGCAAGACTGGAAAAGACTTTACTGTTTCATTGTAGATCGTAACAGTTATTTATAATTTTCATTTTTGAAAAGCTTTGGGCGTCACAAACTTCAGATACGCCAAGCATGAAAGAGCCACCGTGTTCTATGACTTCTCGTTATTAAACTCCTTCACCCTCTTCAAAATGTACCCAAATATGTGGTCCCTTTCCTCCCCATAAATGAGTGACACCATTTAATTTATGGATACCCCCTCCCCCAGATCAGGCTAAAGGCATCTTTTCGCAACCCCTTGGGGGGGTGGTTAACCTGATAATATGACAGGGGGGCGCTTGAGAACTTAAAAAGATTTGTAAACCTGTGACATTTTATCTTTATTGAGCCGTTTTATTAAAAACATAGATATTGTTTACAGTGATCGGGGTAGTTTGTTAAAGTCACTCGTCTGCAATTAGGGCCTACATCCAATACTACCCCCCCCCCCGCTTTTTAACACATTTACACTCGTTTATCAATTTATAGGAATAATCCTGGTTGTGGCTGTGGCTCGCAACAACTTATCAAATGTTATAAAGGATCATGTACTAAAAGGTTTGAGAAACTCTGGACATTTGTTAATAATTATCTTTCATTAAAGGTAATTATGTTTTATGCATTTAAAAACATTTTCTTTCTTTAAATATTTCAGAACAAAGTGCTATTTAATGTACATTTTTTTAATTGTAATAAAAAGCTCTTTTATTTCGATTTGGAAATTCTTATTAGTCATTTCGGAAAATGACACATTTCTTGGGATTTTGTTCAATGCTTCAGCTTTATAGTCAATCGTAAATATAGTAACGGGAAGTAAACCGGAAGTTGATGCAGACAGTGAACTTTAAGTGATCGGTGATAGTGATATGTTGAAGCTGTCAACTTTTTTGTTTTTTTTGAGTTGAAAGAAATACTTTAATATATCACATAAACACAATTATTTGAAGACCTACTATGGCTGTTAATGAAAAGCAAGCACCTGTTTCCATACCAACCTGCTTTTCGGAAAAACGAGTTTTGGTTGTATGGATTGCCTGCTTCGGGATTTTGATAGTGTTGTCATTTTTTGTTTTTGTACCAGTCGCAGTGTCTATGGTAGGCCTAAATATTTTTTGTTGAAAATTAGTTACTATTAGCTTACTTAGGGATCCGATAAGTTTAGGGTTCATGATTGTTAGGTTTAGGGATAGATTTAGGGTTCAGGGTAGGTTAGGGATACATTTAGGACATAAGTTTGTGGGTCGTGGCAAACAAGATGGCAGCTACGGTGCTATCTCTCCAAATTTACCTAAATATCTTCGTCTTCTTATACTTATATTTGAGGGGTCCACGATCAATTTGTTGATCCGGGTTTAAATTCAGAGTTTGCCTTCTCTTAGATGGGTTGCCGTCCAAGGCTAACAAGTCCCATCCACCCGGGGTGCATGGGATGTTGGCTTTGGTGGGATTGAACTCCAGACCAACAGCTTTTTGGTTTGAGACAGTTTAGACCGCTCAGCCACGCTGCATCCCCAGCATATTATATTAAACGCAAGTAAATAAATTGAAAGTATCATAAAACTTAATCAAATAAATGATAATAATATTCAAATAATCTCAAATGATCAATCAAAGATCATCTCATGAGTCATGACCTGTAAATTATCTTAACTGTAATCATCATTGTAATTTTTTAAGGTAACTTTGGACTATATGTGCCATGACGTTTCACACGGCCATCATCTAGGTTGCCATTTTCCCTGAAAGGTCACACACGGGTCATGGCAACCAAGGTGGTGGTCGTGTAAATAAACATAGCTGCTAAAATGGGGTGGGGAAAGGAAGAGAATGTGCTTGTTTAGTGAAATACAAATATAGGAACAAAACATCAAAATTTAATGAACAAATTTCCACCGGTCTAACTCATAACTTAAACCTAACCCTAAACCTAACACTCAACTCAAAGACGTGTGTGGCTACAATTACACACTGTGGTAAGAAAACTTTAAAAATGAAGAAAAACGATACAAAATAATTGTAAAATAATGAATACCCAAACTTACAGTTTCATAGAATACACTTTTACACACTTTATTTCAGATTACAGCAAAAAGCAAATCCAAAAGTTGAAAAAAAAATCAATACATACTCATTTTCCAAAATTCGGGAAAATTTAAATATTACAATTTACCAAGCAATAAAATTTTAATTTAAAACATTCCAATTGTCTTATTAAAGAAAAGTTAAACTCTAGTAACAACAACGTAAAGGGGAGTGATACTTAAAATATCACGTAAGTGATGTCATGGTGTGAATTGCCTGTAAAAGGCCTATTAATTTTGATTATTATTATATGGTAGAGCCTATATAATACATAGTATAGTTACTGTGTTTCTTCTGCCAGAAGAGCAGAGGCTTAGCACTTTCATCAAATTAAATTATCGTATAGTGATCTTCTATTATATAGTACATGTATTATTCACAATATAGCCATAATAGTGTCCGTAAAATTGGGTTATGTCACAGAAGGGGGTTGCGTTAATGCAGTATTTTGCAATATGCCATGCAAAAAATAGTGATGGCATTTTTAAAAAGTAGGAATTTACTATCTTAGAATCTTAGACAATGCATAGGTGATCTTGTTATAAAATACAGATTTTTTAAAATCTCGGGAGTGAGCTAGACTATGTGTTGCTGAAGTAAGACTAGCTTTAGTGGTTTTGTGATTGTGTTATATGAAAAAATATCTTTAAAAAAATCTTTTGATTATACCTTGTACTTAATTCAAGTTTGAACAAAAATTTCATGTCAGTATGATTAATGAAATTTAGGTAGCCATGCCATGACTCCATTATGTCAGAATCTGCTCTATAGTTGGGTTCCATTCTCAGTAGTTAATATGCAAAGTGTTGTGAACTGGTTATTTGAATGCTTATAAATATTAAAATAATTGCATTTTATTCAATTGTCTTTCAAACAATTTTTTTTTTCTATAATTATTCATAATTGTGGAATCTTGGGATCTTTATGTTTGTACTGACTCCATGCACTTCGCAAATATTCACAGATTATATGGTGCACTCATTAAGGAACAGTTCTTTATAATAGCACAGCCTAATTACTAGTTTTTAAGTTCAGCCATGCCCAGTCCTCATGACTCATTTATAACAATTGTAAATACAATATATTTTTAAAGACAAGGAGATTGGCTTATTGTTAATTAAATTGCATATTTACATTCTCAAAAGCTGATTATGCAACTCCTTATAAAAAATTATTTTAATAATATTTAGTTTCAAAGAACAAGAGTTTTAAAAGGAGAAATTTGGCTTCAATGTTTTTAAATTAATTAAAGGTACATTTTCATAATCTGCAGGAAAATGCTGGAAACAATTGTTACCTTTACAGTGACTCAAAAGGCTTTGGAACCTTATCTGTGTGCTCCTATTGTGTTGCATCTGCAATCATATTTCTTTGCTTGTGTGGTCTTCGGCTGTTGATTTTAGTCATTAAAGTGACACGTTTCTCCAGCAAGCTGTCTGACAAAGTATATGAGTAAGTTAGACATTTAAAGATTATATCTTACATGTGTAAACTTTTTTCATAATACCTAAATTTCTTGTCACAGAGTGAATCTATTGAAAAATAAATTAAAATTTATTATTTTCATTTATTTAAATACAAAGAAAAAATAGGGCTGATTACATGTCAAGGGTAACAAAACCTACAATCTCAATTAAAAATTCATGATTTAATAAAGCATTAGTCAGTCCTATTCTGTAAATCTTAGAGGCTTTAAAAGAAAAATGTCTACATGGAAAACAGTGCAAAACTATATATTAAATACAGAAAAATCTACAGAACCATTGAACTTACTATAAGACAAAAGTTTCCAGATAAATCATCCTTTTCATTTTGAGAATTTTCTTCAACTCCCTTGATACTCTTGGTACAAATCTTCACAATTTTTATGTTTGTTAAGTTCTGCCATTCACCTATGAGAGTTAATTAACATTGTGCATCATATTTTGTAAACACCAGTTTATTTTGTTGGCTTACAAAAATGCCAATTAACTTGTCATATTTTTTAATTTTGGAAATAATTGACTGTGACAACTAAAGGATCAATAGAGTCTTGTTTAATTTTCTTTCTTAATTTAAAAAAAGTACTCCGTGCCATGGCCATGAATATTTAAGGTATATCAATTTTATGAAAAGATCATGCTTTTTGCCTTTGTTTAATTTACCTTAGTTGTTAGCACTTGTAAATTAAAATTTTCAGATGGGTCAGTGTCTGGGGCGTGCACCTTATCATCTTCATTCTAGATTTGATGATGCTGATTCTCATATTGGTGACTGCCTGTTTGATCAGTGCTGGTTTGTCAAAAATTTGTGAGCTTTATGATGGGAGAGATAAGTGAGTTAACATTTTAATTTTTTAGTTTCATATCTCTGTTAGCATTACAAAACTTGATAGAATATAATTCGTTACTGTTTTAGAATTTTTCATTATTTGTTGATACCACTTCTCTGCACGAATACATTTATTAACCAAGTGTGAGCTACGGTTAATTTTTTTAAAATGGTCTTTTAGGTATTATTGCTTGTTAGTGTTATAAAAAACATAGATCAAATTTCTGTTTTCTGGAAAATTTGAAACTATTCCATAAAATTTTAAAAGAAACTCATGCTGCCCTTATAAACTAATTTTGAATGTATACTGTAGTAAATAATTTGGAAACTAACTAAATATGTTAAATTAGGCCTGTATACATGGTATATTTCAATTATGACTTAAAAAGAGTTACTTCACAGCTATTAAAGGCGCTAGCTCACGGGTAATAGTCTGTTCAACAATTTTTATTTCACAGCACATATAATCTTATTACTTCACTGTTTTAAGTTATTTAACCAATCAGATGTCATCCGGAAATAAAGGAAAACTTGATTGATACTGTGTTAAACTCATCATCTATTTCTTTATTATTGCATTGTTATTTTTTAATTAAAATTTATATTAATTATTACAATTTTCATTAATGCTTAAAGGTGCTCATCTTCAAAAGGGGTTGAGCTTCCGAATGGAGAAAATGGATCATTTTACAAAGCCCTCTCATTCTCAGAGGTATGAACTAATCATAATATATATTTGCATAGTTGTTTCCCCAAGTACCTGTAAAGTTTGGACCCATACTTTCCTCTATGGTGGATGGTTGACTTTATGGGACTATGTCTGCATGTTACTGTTCAAAAATTGTTATCCTAGAAACAGAATATTGTTTTCAAATTGTGTTAATCTCCATATCTTTAAAGGAATGAACAAATGTGTCAGTTTCATAAAATAAAAAAAAGTTAGCTTATTAATGATCAAATATTTCTTTGAAAAGAATGGGTGGACATAGTAAGATCTGCTGGTTACTTATAGCTTGCCTGTAGCCATTGTGCGAGTCTTAAGGCATTTCAAATGATATATATGAAAGAAATATATTTTATTCTGCATATATATAATATATTATCACAGTAACCATTTTGTTAATTATTAATTTTCTTGAAACAAATATTTCAGGCTTCAGCTTGGTTCACATTCTGCTTTTGGTTACTTGTTATTGTAGCTGAGACTTATATAGGATGGAAAAGTGGATCATTTTCAGAACTGGTCACCAAGGTCAGAAGTTTGAGTGCAAGGAAAAGTGACACTTCTGCAAGTCAGGAGCAAACAAACTCACAGCCTGAGCCACCACCCATGGCTAAGTACTAGATCAATGATTAGAACAAAAACTTTGACCAAAGGTTACCAACAGAGCTTGTAGATAAAAAAGATGTCATCTTCATCGTCACTATATATTCATATATTGCCAACCTACTAAAATAAATTAGTAGTCTTATACACACTCACTCACTCACACACACACACACACACACACATATATATATATANATATCAGAGCTTAATTATTCCATGATTCACAGTATTTATCAAATAAAAAGAAACAACCATCTTCCTGTTTGGTTGACACTCTTTATCTGTTTGTTTTATGCTCATGAACTTCCAGACTTAAATCACCGTATTTTTATTATTGCACTTACATTTTTTTAAAGTAAAAAGTGCTTTTTGGTGGAAAGTTTTTAAAGTGACTCCAGCAAACAAGAAAACCAGTTAATTTTATTTATGAATGCACAATTTCAAACAAAAAGCACACACTATTTTTTATTCCATCTAGATGAGAGTCCTGTTTCCAGGCTACTAGTTTTTTTTTAATTTATAATTTTTAACATATCTTTTTTAAAACTGTTTATTTTCTAATTTTGAAGACTTTATGAACATATTTTGTGGAGATAATTTCACAGAATTTCTGTTAAATTGGGGAATTTATTGATACCTAAAAACTAAAAAAAAATTATTTGTGGCAGTGATCAACACCATAGCTAACAAAGTGTTTTACAAGTATAAATAATTGTTTGATACCATTAGTGTAATAATCCTATATTTAAAAAAAAAAAAAAAGTTGTGTGTAAGTTGATTTGGATTATACATTTATTAAAGAAGTTAAAAATGTAAAACTAAAACTAAAAAAAGGTCAATTGCCATTAACGCATTAAAAACAAAAAAAAAATTATTTGTTGCAGTGATCAACAAAATAGCTAAAAAAGTGTTTTACAAGTATAAATAATTGTTTAATACCATTAGTGTAAAAATCCTATATTTAAAAAAAAAAAAAAAAAAAAGTTGTGTGTAAGTTGATTTGGATTATACATTTATTAAAGAAGTTAAAAATGTAAAACTAAAACTAAAAAAAGGTCAATTGCCATTAACGCATTGGTTCATATTATGTAAATTAATGACCAAGGCTTCAATGTGGCAAACAAGGTGACAACACCCCAATGTCCCGTGTGATGTCACACAAGGTTTATTATCAGCCCCAGATTTTTTTTTGTTTTTTGTTTTTTTTTAAAACAAACATATTCTCAAGGTATCATAAAATTTATTTTTCACCAGACCTTTTACATAAATATAAGTTCCAAGTCTGAAAACCATGATGAATTTAAAATAAAAATTAACAGCCTCAATATTATTTTTTGAACTACTTCTCACTTAAATTGCTCCACAAAGAGCAAATGAATAAACAAGGTAGATTAAAAATTCAATAATGGCTCAGAAGTGTTATTTATTAACAACCAGGAGAAGAGGGTTCTTTTAATTTCAAACAAAAATCTCCGTACTCATTAAGTTTTGACATTTTAACTTGAAATGTGAAACATGATTTTCAGGAAATAGAAACTGTATCTGCTACTAGGTACATTTTTAATAATTTTCTCAAATTAGTTTCAACTCAATGAATTCCATTTTAAATGCACATTATTTTTTTACTCCACATTGGTTTATGTCTTTGTTCTAATATTAATTGCATTATAAATACTTTACAAATGTGTATGCTATCAAAGCGATTGGTAGATGTTTCATGTATGTAGACATTTTTATTGATTGCTTTTCAACTTTTATTTGTGTAAAATATAATTTAAGCTTATTTATTATGTCATGTTATGGCAATAATTTTGTGTTATTCTTTTTCATTAATTTAGTTTAAATATTCAAAATTCTGGATAAAATTTACAGTTTTTTTATTCTTAAAAAAAATATGAAAATAAGTATGTGAATTGCCATCCATAAAGACATATCACTATTTTTGCTGATTTTTTAAAACCAAATACCCACACACACATACCAAATAATCACAAATGTGTAGGGTAACACTAATTTTTGACAAATGGTCACAAATATGACCTCCCCCCTTCCTTTAGTGATATCATGTATGGATGGCCCTGAAGTGAATATCTTTTTGTGCAATTTGTTTAAGAAGCAAAAACTGTAATGCAATCAAACCGTTTTTCTTAGATTAAGAAAATCTTCATTTTGCTATGGATTAAAAAAAATATTCATATTAGCAACCTTAGTAGCATTTTGTTAATATTTTGTTTTACTAACTTCAATTTAATTAGGCCAGTGCTTCACACCTTTTAGTGTAAATATTAAATGTTAATATTGTAAAAATTATTCTCTTGTAGTAAGCTCCACAGATCTCAGTGCAATTATCTGCCAGAAATTGATCAGTCTCTTTAACATTAATAAAATACAATTAATCAATTAATTTTTTAAGAAAAAGTAAAATATGTGATACACCATTTACATTTGTATGCATCTTCCTTTACAACTTTGTAATATAATTATTGCTCATTTACACTTTTAATTTTGTTTTTCTTACATATACATATGAAGATTTGAAGAATAAGCTCACCTGAGATCGCAACATTGTATAGTAAATGTTGTTGTTAAATGTTAAACATTCCAAAACTTAATGTGGGCTAACCTTAACAGATTGGTTATGATGAATGACTTTCAGCATTGACAAAGTGCAGTGGGCTTTAAGTGGATTGAAGTGCCATGTGTCAAATAAATCTTTATATGTTAAATATATTTTCATTGTATATTGACATGTTTTGGCAAAACTCAAATAATCCCAAGTGCTACATAAAATTGAGATCACCTGAATGGATTAATTCTATCACTAAGTTTAACTAAAGCTGTGAGGAATATTATTTTGTTTTTACTGTGAGGGGGCTGTGCTTGAAATGTGTTGCATGCCATTTATGTCCCACAATAGAACTTTTTTTATACACACTAACAGAACTGTTCACCTTTTTGTGCACTCCACAATAATGTTAAATCCCCATTAAATCATTTTTCTCTCAAAGAAACCTATTTTACCCTTCCATCTTTATTTGGCTTAGGTTCAAAGTTCAAAAAAACTTTATTGCTATTTTTTTTTTAAAATCTCATTGTGTACAGCATGTTGTAATTTTTACCACGTTAATATAAAATATATCACTGTAGTTAAACTTATTCATTTATATTTCTTTAAATCTCTTAGGCTAGAGTGTGCAGAATTTTCTTATTCATATAAAAATATTTTATTGAGCAACTCATGTAATAAATGAATATGTTTTACATTATTGTACATGTAAATTAAAATTGCCTTTTTAAAAAAAAATTACATTTGTGCCTGACAACATGTAGTAATAGAATGGAATAGCTGAACTCATAGAGTATTTGCTACCTTGACTGAAAAATTGCCCCCCTTGGCAAAGCCTGAATTAGTGCACCCTCTTTCTCAAAAAGCATACAGCAACACACACACTTTGCATGAAAAATTACGATATTTGCTCCCCATGAAGACAGTGCCTCCTCCCCCTTTTTTCCCCCTCTTGAACGGCAATGCTCTTTAGCAGTGTACAATCTCCTTTACAAACCTTAAATTTTACTGTCTATGAAAATGGGGGGAAAGACACTTTGAGACTTTACTATAGAGTATTTTGATAAGGATATATACTATTCAATATCATTATATCATTAAAAAGTGTTACGTAAGGCGGCTGTGTGTACATCTATACCTCAGAGGGTAAAAGCCTTATTCAGTGATTAATTTTTTTTTAGACACACATTAATGAATGGATTAAAGTTAAAGCATAGAGGAAAATTGTATTACTTTATAGACTTGCAGTGAACCAATTACAGAGCATCCAGTGAAGTCTTACTTATAAATTAAGTTGAGATTGCATTTAATTCATTACAATTATGATGAGTGTAAAAAAAAAATTCATTCCTAAAAATTTAAAAAAACCTTTGATGTCAATAAATTGAGAAAATGGTTTACAACATTTACACAATTCTTGTTAACTTTATTTTGTATTAAACCATAGCACTTGTGCTGTGTCTTTAGCAATCATAAGCATTGTTTACTCCTGTCTCTTACTTTTGCAGAAACGCATCACCGCTATTCGGACTCAGGTCCCTTTAGACTCAATGCTATTCGGATGTCATTTTTGGTAGTTTATTTTAGTTAAACTGAAGAATTAAGTATACAAACATTTATTCCATTCAATTATTTTTCATTTGGTACCAAATTTTGTCTTACAACCGAACAATAATTTTTTTTTTTTAATTTTAATCCCAATCTCTAACTTCTCGGACCTGGGTCCGAATAGCCACTTCGATATTCTTAACCCTTTGAAAGGCTGATGAAAGTAAATTCTCTGGGTAGGACCTACATCGGAAATAGTCGATCATCTCAAGTGCTTTATGCCAAAAGTCATCCTCCGACAAAGTCGAGGAAGACGAAGTAATTGAGAAAAAGGGATAGGCCCTATAGTCTTTAAAGGATGTAGGGTGGGAGGAAGAGTAGAGTAGATAGCCGTGGGTTTCAGTTGGTTTAAAGTAGGTGGAGGTGAGTAGACTGTAATGTCCAAAAAGTTGACTGATGTCTCAGAGACAAGGGATATGAATTTAATGGAAGGGTGAAAGGAAGCGACGAAGTTAATGAATAGGTCAAGTTCACTCCTCTCTATAGTGGTGACCCAAATGCCGTCATCAATGAACCTCTTATAGAATTCAGGGAGTCGTCCAGTGTAGTTGCTTCGACAATGTTACGAAATGTCCCATGAACAAGCATGCGTAGCTGGGTCCCATTTTAGTCCCCATAGCAACACCACTGACTTGGTCGAAGAATTGGCCAATATACTCAAACGAATTGAGGCTGAGGGCCAGTTTAGTCAATCGTTGGAGGGTGTTGGTTGGTAAAGATGGATGGGGTTCAGCCTCGAGAAAGAATTTTAGAGCAAAGAAACCGTCCGTGTGGGGGATAGAAGTGTGTAGAGAGCAAAATTGACATACATCAAGCAGAAATAGATGATTTTTATTTTCAGGAGGGATGATGATCTGATAGATTCGAAAGCTTGTAAAGTAAATTTGGTGTCTTTAATGTAAGTGGTCAGTGAGACTACGATGGTTTGAAAAACTCCATTAAGGAATTCCGAGTTATGTCCGGTGGGACAAGAGCATGCTGAGACAATGGGTCTGCCAGGGTTACCGTACTTGTGTATTTCAGGAATTAGATAGAAACATGGTTTACCGAAGTCACTATCAAAGATGTGTAAAGCAGAGGCCGATTAGGGGAGTGTCGATTCTGCGATCATTTTTTTTTATAGTCTCTTCTACCATGTCGTTATGTTTGGTTTATAGGTTTGTTGGTCCTCGGTTGGTAGAACTGCCCGTCTTCTAGTTGCCTGTGTGCCTATTTGATGTAAAGATCTTTGTCCCACACAACAACAGCTCCACCTTTGTCAGCTGGTTTGATAGCAATGTCTTTTCGGCTGCGTGGCATAGAGAGTGCCTGTGATTCTCTTTTAGAAAGATTAGATTTCCAGAGTGGAGGCAAAGGGAGGTTCTTGGTGTCATGTTCCGTGCTCCTTAGGCCTATATACATGTCTAAAGCTTTGGATTGGTTAGATGGTGGTGTCAAATTGGATTTGCGTTCTCTATGAAACGGGAATAACTCGTCATCAGGAAGGTTGATACGTTTCCCCGCAAATTTAAACTGAAGTCTCAAGGAACGAAAATAGCGGCGGGGATCCGAAAATAGTTGGTAGCCATCGCAAGATGGTTTCCGTGGAATAAATTTGAGACCCTTAGAGAGTAGCGACCTTTCGTCATCAGAGAGTGGGAGGTCAGGGGGGATGCAAACGACTAAGTTGCTGCCAGTGACAGTTTGATGAGGGGCGGAGTTGTTTGTTGGCGTAAGATGGTCTAAAGAATTCTACAGCATACTTTTTTTGTTGTTTTAGTTTAGGACTATATTATACCATCTATCACATAGGCCAGCACTGAGCTTGTTATTTAGAGTCACCTCGCGTTATCAAATGAATATCTCTCAAGTTCCTACCTTTGATTACTATCGCCCTTGACATTTTTTTTTCTTTTCTTTTTTTTTTTTTTTTCATTAAATAAAAAAAAAATAAAAAAAAAACACAATTTTTCAAGTTAACTAAGTCAGAATAAAAGACTAAATATACGGCATAGAATTTAACCAATTTGTGTTCCAATATCTCATCACAATGAATAGTACGGTAGTTGATACCGGGTAACATAAAATTATACCTTGCGTCTTTTGTACAAAAAATTTCTTCCACCACTTAGATAGAGGAGGAAAAAATATGCTGACAGGGTTGGACCGCCCCCATTCCGACGCCAATGCCAACATTACATTTCAATCCATGTCATTATCAATGAGGTTCACATTTTTCTTTATTTGTTTTATTTGTCAGAATAATGTGAAGAAGAAATTCTTCATCCTTTATATTTTAAAAAATCGTATTTCAACGAACATACTAGATTCCTTTGGCGTTGGAGGATACTTGTGATCTTCCATCGGGTCCATCGACTTTCAAGAAAGAAAATTAGGATTCTATGCAACTTTCTTGTCGAGGAAGAACTGTTAAAAATAACAACAAAAAAAAAACAAAAACAAAAAAAAAAAAAAAAA